GAAAACAGAGTTGCTCTTCACTCTTGCCACCCCTTCTTCCCTTAAAACTTTGTCTTGTTGATTCAGTCTTTCCCTCCCCGCTATCTCCAGTGCTACTGCCTTGGTTTGGACCTCCCTTGCCCTGCTGGACTTGGCAGTAGATTCCTAGCTGGTTTCCCTGCCTTCAAGGAGACATCTCTCTTCTTTACCATCTGCCACATACCAGGTTCATGATGCTGAAACATGTACCCACATGCTTCCATCTCCGGCATAAACACCTTTAAATCTATCCATTCCTAAAGGATAAAGTCCAAAATCTTCAACATGTTTTTCTGGGCTCTTCATAGATGTGCCCCGGTTAGGCTGGCTCGACTCATGTCCAACAACACCGTCTTTACTTGCCTCCATACCTTTGAACATGTTGTTTTCTATGCCAGGAATGCTTTTTCTTCCCTTCTCCACGTAGTACACAACTCTGCATCCTTCAAGACCCATCTCAAACACTGTCTTAACTTCCTGGCCATCAGCTACTCTGTTCCAGTTCCCCTCCCACCCCCAGACTCAATGACCAAGCAGAAGAGTCGCTGTTTCCATAGGGTCTTCATCTACCTCAAGTCTGGCACTGATCACATTGAATTGAAATTAGTTGTTGATGTGCTTCTGTACCCATTAGGCTGTGAACCCCTTGCCCTAAGACATCTTTCCCTTCGCTTCAGGAGTCTTAGCACTGTGCAGGCCATGCAAAACCTTGCATTGATCAGGAATGAACATGCACTTTCTTAGGCATCTTTAACCAAATCTAACTGCCATCTAGATTTCTTATGCTTTCTAGATGCATTTATCCAATGTTGATAGGTAATAGTTCTAAGTGTAGGTATTGGGGGAGGGACTAGAAAAACAGAAGATATGGTAGCCATCATACATAATACTTAATATTTAATCATATAAACTATTTAATATTTTTTAATTAGAGAAGTCAAGCATAATCAGAGCAGCTACTGAAGAGCAATGTGAGGGCTCTGATTCAGTTAGGAGGCATTTTAATGAGAAGTGGCACATGATTGAGGAGGGACATTGAAGAAACTGCCTGGCCCAGATTTTGTCTTCAGTAGTGCCCTCAGGTGTAGTTTCTGTCTTCATAGTAACATTAGGATTTGAGGTTTTGTTTCTGGAAAAGAGTTTCAATGTGGTTTCATGTTATATCAAAGCTGTTGTTGAAAAAAAAAATCATCAAATTATTGTGTTTGGAATAGTCCTTTGATGACTGTCAGCTGCAAGGGCCTCTGCTTTCTCAGCTCTAAAGTGGCTGCTTTGCTTTAGTCTAATTCTGTTGCACAAGTCATATCTGACATAGTTTTTCTACTTTCGAAATGCTAATTCTGCAGAAAGTCATGACAAATTATATGTAATGATTTTTGAAATGTGGAAGTAACTGGTTTACAATTCAAATAAACAAATATTATCACATACTTTCTAAATACTGGCATCATGAATGATTTTTCAAATTTTGTTGTTGGAAACATTTGATATGTGTTGCATTTCTTTGGGAGAAACTATACTCTGTGGCTAATGGATAGAAAAGTGGCAATGTGTGCCGTTTGCTTGGTTTTGCTTAACTTTAGACTTTATAGCTATAATCATAGACCTCCAAGGAATATATTAAATCAATAGTTTCCTAAATTCGTAACTCCTTAGGGTTAATTACAAGAGTTGACAATAGCAATTATAGTCTTATTGTAACAAATTCAAAATAATACAGAGATATGGGTGATCTTTACTTCATCCCCCCAAGTCTTCCACCCTAAATTCCACTTTTCAGAGATAAGCTACTAGTTGGTGTCTAAATCCCTATAAAACACACACACACACACACACACTTTTTAAATTTTTTTTCATTATTTCTAATAAATTTAATCATAAAAATTTTAATCTCTATCATATTGAGTACTTATTCATCAGTTCTTTTTTCTTATTTTTCATTTAACTTTATTTAAAATTTTTAAAATTTATCTTTATTGTTGAAAGTATTATAGATGTCCCTCTTTTTTCCCCACTGACCCCTTCTAGCCTGCCCCATCTCCCATCCTAGGCCTTCACACTATTGTCTGTGTCCATGAGTTATGCATATATGAATATAAGTTATATGATTAATCTCTTCCCACCTACCCAATCTCCCCTGCCTTCCCTGGACACTGTAATTTCTTAAATATAAGACAAGGGATTACCTTATGCATGGTATTATTGGCACTTTTTCAGTTAACAACTCACAAACAATCCCCATGTCAGGGCGTGAAGATCTTTCTCTTTCACACCTGAATAGTGTTCGTCCTTGATCTAGAGCAGTGGTTCTCAACCTTGGCTGCCCATTAGAAGCACCTGGGAATCTTTTTAAAATCCCGATTTCTGGGCCTCATCCTCCGGAAATTCTGTTTCTTTGTTATGGGGTGGGGCCACAACATTAGTAACAAGGAAACAGAATTTCCAGAGGATGAGGCCCAGAAATCAGGATTTTAAAAAGATTCCCAGGTGCTTCTAATGTGCAGCCAAGGTTGAGAACCACTGATCTGGAGTCTTTCCCATGAAAATGAGCTCAGAGGATGATAAGGAGGCCTCATGAGCAGATGGCTGTTTAGTCTGACTCCTGTGTTCTTCTCTTTCAGTATCCGAGATTTACTGAAGTTCAAAGAAGAAGTGACAAAGGAGCGAGACCAGCTCTTGTCAGAAGTGGTGAAATTACGGGAGTCCTTAGCTCAGACCACTGATCGGCAGCTGAGTGCGGAACGAAGCCGGGACGAGGCAGAGCACGCCATCATGCAGGTCCGCTCTGCCAAGTAGGGCTTGATGGAGGACCTTTTCCTTCCAGAAGAAGGTTTTGTCCTTCCCCAGCCTCCCTACCACCATTCACCCACCCCCTGCCCTGCTGTCCAACGGTGGCATCCACGATTCTGCTTGTGTCTTTGGTTTGTTCTTGCAGGAGCAGTTCTACTGGAGCCACTCCTCTCAGCATTGTCTGAGAAGCCACTAAGGCAGGGCACTGCTTACAGTTCTGTCTGGCCCAAGAAACTGTCCCTGGTGAAGGTCAGGGTGCCCTGCATCTGGAGATGCTGAAAGTAGTTCCCTTGACCCTTTTCCATTGAAAGGAAGCCATCTGGCTGAACCCTTCTGAACACTTTTACATTAAGCCAGAAGTCAAATAGATAATACACAAATGCCAACTCTAGGAGAAAAACAGGAGACCTTTGATCATGAGATAAGAGAAAGGCCTTTCATAGAATTCAGACACCATGATAAGGCTCTAGTGCTTTCTTTAGCGATATCCAGTACTCATGTACAAAATGATTTCACATTTAGGGTAGTTGGCTACATTTAATTTAGTTCCCATTGAAGGAGAATTGGATGAGCTCCTTCCATGTTTAACTTTTCTAGATTCTGGGCTTCCATATTTAATTGGATTTTATACCTTCTTTGTGGATTTGTGTCCACCATCAGGGTGGATATTTAGTGGGAAGGCTCTGAAAAACAAAACAGATTTTTTTAAAATATGTTTTTTATTGTTGATAGTATTACATATATTTCCCATCTTCCCCCCCCTTCTTCTAAGCTCACAGCCCCTACCCACCCCACTTCTTTTTTTTAGCATGTTTTTATTTATTTATTTTTTAAATATATTTTATTGATTTTTTTAGAGAGGAAGGGAGAGGGATAGAGAGCCAGAAACATTGACGAGAGAGAAACATCAATCAGCTGCCTCCTGCACACTCCCCACTGGGTATGCGCCCGCAACCAAGTCACATGCCCCTGGCCGAAATCAAACCCGAGACCTCTGAGTCCGCAGGCCAACGCTCTATCCACTGAGCCAAACCGGTTAGGGCTAAACATGTTTTTATTGATTTCAGAGAGGAAGGGAGAGGGAGAGAGAGATAGAAACATCAATGATGAGAGAAAAATCATTGATTGGCTGCTCCTGCATGCTCCCTGCTGGGGGATCGAGCCTGTAACCTGGGCATGTGCCCTGACCAGGAATTGAACCGTGACCTCCTGGTTCATAGGTTGATGCTCAACCACCAAGCCATGCTGGCCGGGCAAAGCAGAATATTCTTGAGGTGTTTTTACATTAGGGCTCAAAGATGACTGACCTACAGGGGAAATGCTACTACAAAGTGACTGCCCTGGGAGAGGGAGAAGCTTGGCTGGTTGAGACCTGTCCTGGGAGGGGTTCATGTCTTTACTCCTTGTCCTTTCTGTGCCTGTAGTTCCAACAAGAAATCCAGCAACGTCAGAATGAAGCTTTGCGGGAGACTCGGAAGAAGGAAAAACTGGAGAAAGAGCTCAAGCAGATTCAGACGGACATGGACACCAGGCAGACGGAGATCAAGGCCCTGCAGCAGTATGTGCAGAAGAGCAAGGAGGAGCTGCAGAGGCTGGAGCAGCAGCTGAAGGAGCAGAAGGTGCGTGGGGTGCGGGCTGCATGGGGGTCCTCCCCAAAACAAGACCAGCACCTTGGTTCAGGGTCTGTTGGGGCCTTTTGTATTTTCTTTGGAAAGCAGCAAATTCCCTTTACTGTAGTTGCTGGTAATACGACACTGAGCCCTTCGAATAGCTCTTATAGGTAGATATGTGCCCTCTTTTTTTTTTCCCCAGCTCCAACAGGTTAATTTCTTTTTAACTTTTAATTAAAAAAATATATTTTAATTTATTTTTTTAGAGAGAGAGGAAGGGAGGGGGCAGAGAGAGAGAGAGAGAGAAAAAAAAACCCCACACATAGATGTGAGAGAAAAATATTGATTGGCTGCCTCCTGTTCCCACCCTGACCCGGGATCAAACCTGTAACCTGAGCATGTGCCCTGACCAGGAACTGAACTGGCGACCTTTCAGTGTATAGAACAGCGCTCAACCAACTGAACCACACTGGCCAGGACAATCTTTTCTTAATGTATAATAACCATAGAAAAGTGTTTAAGTCACAAGTATACAGCTTGATCGGTTTTCTCCACTTGGTCACCTGCACTCAGCCCAAAAAACAGTATTCCAGGTGTCTCCCTTATGTCCCCTCCTAGCCATGTTCTCCCCCCAGAGGTCACCTCTATTCCGAATTCTAAGCAGAGATCAGAATTTGCCTTTCTGTACTATGAAATGAAATCTACAGGATGTACTTTTTTTTAATGTCTATCTTCCTTTTCTCCATATTTGTCTGTGAGATTCATTCATGTCATTGCCACATAGTTATAGACTTGTGTTCTCCAATATGGTAGCCATTAGCAACATGTGGCTATTTAAATTTGTTTTAAAATTAAATACAATAAAAAATTCAGTTCCTGGGGTTTCACTAGCACCGTTTCAGGTGCTCAAGATCCAGATGTGACTAGTAGATACCGTACTGGATAGCACAGATAGAGAATATTTACATCAGGGCAGAAAGTCCTACTGGACAGAGCTCATAGAGCGTTCACTCTCATAGCTTTATGGTATTCCATTGTGCAAATATAAGATGGTTTATTTTTAACAGGTTTATTTTAAAGGTTCAAGTTTAGGGAACCATACTCAGTCTTTACACACTTTAAATAAGGTACTATTTTTTGGTAACATTTCCCCTGTAATAGTGGTTTAAGGTAACTTAGTAATAATTCTAGTCTGTCATTTCTCATTTCTTAAAGAAGCAGTTCATGTAATTGAAAAAAAAGTCATTTCTGGAAAATATTTTCTCTGAGGAAGTTTCCAAAGAATTGTCAGGCCATATAGCATTTTTCTATTTAAAAAATAGATATTAGAACACATTTCTTTGTCAGTTGCTTTATTTATTTTATATAGAGCCAGAAATAAAATAGATAATAAACAATATATAGTATCCTCAAGTAAAATATGAGACTTCTTTGAGCGTGAAATCCGAGAGAATTTTGGACATCATGATAAAACTATAGTGCTTTGTTTAGCAATATCCAGGACTCCTGTAAAACAATTTTATTTTTAGCATAGCCAGCTACATCTTATTTAGTCCCTGTTGATGGGAAATTGGATGGATTCTTTTCATGTTTAACTCTTGCTTACGTGAAAGCTTTACTGACCCTTGAACTACACGGGTTTGAACTGCACGGGTCCATTTAGATGCAGATGTTTTTCAATAAATATACAGTTGGCCCTCCTTACCTCCAGGCTTTCCATACGCAGATTCAACAAACCATGGATCAAAAATACTGTTTCCGATCCGCAGTTAGGAAACTGCAGTTGGGAATCCTCCGTCGGGGAAGGCTAACTGTATGCATTGCTTGGTGCCATTTTAGATGAGGGACTTGAGCATCCACGATGTTGGTATTCTAGGGGGTCCTGAAACCAATCCCTAGTGGATACTGAGGGACAACTGTAGTTAAGCTTTTGGGGAGTCAAATTGTGTGGGGAGGGTTTTCAATTGTGTGGGGAGGGTGCCTCCAACCCTCACGCTGTTCAAGGTCAGCTAAATACGTGTCTTTCTCTTTTTGTCCTTCAGGCGATTTGATATCCTTCCGTCTCCCCAGTTTTCTCCCAACAGAAACGGCACCCTAAAAATCTAACCCTCTCTTTTTATAAAACCTACCGTCAAGGAGTGTAAGAGGAAAAGCCAGCTGACACTGTGGTCAGGCTGTTAGAAACCATCCCGCTGCTGCTCCACGGTTTTGACTTAAGTTGGATTAAAGGGGAATTGTGTTGGTGTTAGTGAATGGTTCTGTTCCAGAACAGGTAGTAGGCATGTTAATACAGGATTTGCTTCTGAAGAGGTAGCTTCGGAGCCTCACAGCAGATAAAACTCGGTCGAATCCCTAGCTTATTTGCAATGACTATAGCAATTGTTGTGTATGCGAAGCCTGCCGAATGGTATTAAAATATTTATCCACCACCTGTGAACAAGAGTTCCCAAGGCTCTCAGAAAAAAAAAAGGTCCTCTCTGTGTTATTCATTGTAAGGCGTCATTTTCCTCATCCATTTACCAGTAACATTCATCATTTTTGAGTGCGTTAGAGCTTTCACGGGGATAAAGAACCATTTCTACAAAGACAAAAGCAGTGGGGCTTCCTGTGTGGAGACACAGATATTGTAATCAAATCAAAAAAAAAATTAACCAGCTCATTCTGCCTCTTTCAGATATTGAACGAGAGAGCTGCAAAGGAACTGGAGCAGTTTCAGATGAGAAATGCTAAACTTCAGCAAGAGAATGAACAACACGCTTTGGTTTGCGAGCAGCTATCCCAGGAAAACCAGCAGAAGGCATTGGAGCTCAAAGTAACCATCAAGTGACACATCAGTTGCCTAGCACTCCCTCCTTCCTTCCCTATAGGTTTGCTGTGCGGTCGGAGCTCTCGGTTCCATAACCTGAATTAGCCTTGATGCATCAGACAGGTGCAAGCCTGTCGTGATTGCTTTGTGCCTGGAAGCAGACAGTGTGATAAGTCCCATTCTTACTTATAACATTGCAAACCTGATTATTGATCATATGATTATGCAAATGCTTTCCAAAGCAAGCTCAGATGTTCATCTCTGTAACTGAGCCTAGCAAGTCACCGGTTGCCGAGAGCTAGAAATCATTTACACGAGCGAATAGCAAAGAAGTCAGATTGCGTTTTATTACTTGTATGGAAAATTGGATGGATTCTTTTCATGTTTAACTGCACGGGTCCATTTAGATGCAGGTAGAATGAGAAGGTAGAACGAGCAGGGTGGGGGATGGACTGGTTCTATTAGGTATTTACTTCTAGGATTGTAGAAGCATGATATTCACTCTGTCCAATGCAAACTTTAAGACAGGCCTCCTGTTCTTCCTCCCCTTCTTCTGAAGAGTGCTTGCAAGTTAAGTTTGGACAACAACTTTATGCTGGGTACATATGTTATGCCTACATGCTTAATAGAACAAAATTCTGAAAACTCTGTAAACCCTATTATGTTAGAATATTGATTATAAAATGAGTGACCGATCAAAAATAATACTTAGATTTGAGTAATGTATTATACAGTTTCTGCATCACAGGCCCTTCTGAGAATCTAACAGAAATATATGAACAGACACACACACGCGCACGCGCACACACACACACATACATTGCACATCTTGTATCTTGTTTTGTATGCAGTCTCAGAGGACTCCAGGATTTTTCTGAAATCTGACTATGGGGTCTGGATGCATAATTATTGAATATGAACACCTTATTATTGCAATTGAAAGGGGATTTAGGTCTGTTAATTTGGACCCTGTAGGACCCGGGGCTGAGGAACATCTAAAACAGTCTAGAATGGTTTGACTCGAAAGCATTCCCTATGAGAAGGTTGTAAGTTAAAGCAGAAATGAAACGACTACTTAAGGCAAAATAATATATTAGCCCCTAAGGTGCACTTAAAGTAAAAGTACTTATGCCATTAATTCTCTCTTTTGATAACACGACTGGGGCACCTTGAAAGATGATAGATTTTTGTTAAGGGATCCTGAACCTAGGGCATTCAACTTCTCCCAATAATCTGAGGATAACATACCCAGCTAAGTTCAGTCTCTTTAGTGGCAAGAACTGGGGATAATTCCCAAGTTTATTTGTAGAAGTGTCACTGGTTGCATTCCCAGTAATTTCTAAAAATGACAAAATTTTGAAAAGTGAATTTAATTTGAATGTAAACAAAATTCATAAAACTTGAAGCCCATAGACAAAAATTTGGTGTTTTCCTTTGCTAGACTTTATTGTTCTGGTACCTTTGGGCATTATGTAGATTTACCTTTTAATGTTGCCCTGTCCACCTGTCTGAATATACACCCATTGGCTACCATCCTCTCAGGACGGAGGCCCCCTCCTCTCGTGGATGTAATTGTACTGCTGTGGCCATGTGCGTACAAACGTATTTGAATACTTTATGGCATGTTAATAACCTTCTGAAAGAGATCACTTTGTGAGTCTGTGAAAACTGCTAATGGAATATAGCGTCTATACACAAAATCCACACATGTATGATACACACAGCTCAGCATTCAGTGGTGCCTGGGGACATCAGGTTTAATCTGTCTTTTTATTATTTTTAGCTTATTCAGCTACATATTTTATTCACAGAATACAGTTTTTCAATTTCCCTCAAAACCAAACAGTGTGTGTTTTGATTTAGTCCAAGAGAGTAACTTCACACTGACATAGGAAGAATTTCCTCTTTCTAGTTCTGAGTTTACCATCAACCAGTCACCCGTTATTTACCAAATGTCCCCCTGCTTAACTCTCTCTCACTAATTACAGGCCAAAGAGGAAGAAGTTCATCAGATGCGCACTGACATCGGGAAGCTCAACAAAATCAGGGAGCAAATCCATAAGAAATTACACCAGATCGAAGACCAAAAGGCGGAAGTAGAACAGCACAAGGAAACGCTAAAAAGTCAGATCTTGGGATTAGAGAGAGGTAAACCAAGGATTATTTTGTGCCTTTATAAAATGCATTTATAGACATTTCATTGGTGACTAATGTCATTTGGCAACTCGGGGCTCTGTGTACAAACCACAAACCATGCAAATGAAATCAGCGAAACAACGTTCAAACTGGTGGGTGGACAGTATGGAGGGGACATCATTAGGAATTCCTTAAAAATTCCTTAAAAATTCTAGCTGGTTTGGCTCGGTGGATAGTGCGTTGGCCTGCGGACTGGAGGATCCCAGGTTCGATTCCGGTCAAGGGCATGTACCTTGGTTGCGGGCACAGCCCCAGTGGGGGGTGTGCAAGAGTCAGCTGATAGATGTTTCTCTCTCATTGATGTTTCTAACTCTCTATATCTCTCTCCCTTCCTCTCTGTAAAAAATCAATAAAATATATTTAAAAAAAAATAAAAAATTCTTCAACAGACTATTTTGGCACACTGTAAATCCAGCCCAAAGTATTGCTCAGTATTTGTCATGGAGTGACATCTATACTGTTAGGTTTGGGTTGTACATGACCTTCAGCATTAGTCCGTTTTCTCACCAAAGATAGGGATAAAGGAAAATGAATGTCCCCCGTCAGCAATATTTGAGGCAATACTGTACCAAGGATTAGTGGGACAAAAGTAAATGGCTTCTAGTTTCTTTTTTCTGTTAGTACTTAACCATCTGGCAAACACTTGTTCTACCAGCTCTCTCATTGGCCTGTGGAGGCAAAATTTAAGTGCCAGGGAAGGCCATCTAGTACAGAAAAATCACTATGGATACAAACTCTGGAGTCACGTCTGCCTGGGTTCAGATCCCACCTCCACCATATTTAGGTCTTGGGGGATGAAATAAACTAATACACATAAAACATGTGGGGCCAAGTGCCTAGCACTGTGGTCGGCAAACTGCGGCTTGCGAGCCACATGCGGCTCTTTGGCCCCTTGAGAGTGGCTCTTCCACAAAATACCGACTTCTGCTCATGGACCACGAAGTTTCAATCGCACTGTATGTGCGCACCCGCACGTGGTATTTTGTGGAAGAGCCATACTCAAGGGGCCAAAGAGCCGTATGTGGCTCGCTAGCTGCAGTTTGGCAACCACTGGCCTAGCCCATAGTAAGTGCTTACTCAATGTCATCTATTATTATCCAGATATATTACTATGTATATAGTAATAGGACAGACTATGATCCCATTCTGAAAAGAATATTAGGGGGCATGCAGGAGGCAGCTGATCAATTTCTCTCATTGATGTTTCTAATTCTCTATCTCTCTCCCTTCTTCTCTGTAAAAAATCAATAAAATATATTTTTTTAAAAAGAAAACGGATATAATTGAAAATAGGGGAAACTAGTCAAATTTGGGGTGTCTGAAAAAGCTCTGGACTTGGAGAGGCAGAGGATCGGGTCTGAATTCCAACTATACCAGAATATATGAGGCAGGAACACTGTATTCACTCCCAGTGGGCTGCTGTGAGTCGTAAATCACCAAAAAAACATACATCTAGGTAAAATCTGAATCTCCAGGTAAGATTTTATTGGAAACATATGTCATGTGAGCCTTTAAGAAGTGTAGCTATTTTTCCTTCTAAGACATCAGGAAAAAATCTTTTACCTTGACAGTTTCTCCATTCACTTGTTCTTTCATTCGATAAATTGGATGACGACTATATGCAGGTACTATGGTAGGCATTGGGTGCATGGAGGTCCCTGCCCTCAGCATGCTTACTGTCTAGCACAGTTTAATGATCTAATGTGACAGATGGGAAGGAGAATGGATCCCGAGAGCTTGTTTTGTAACAGGCTTAGTGACTTTAAAAAACACTCCTCTATTTAAATTCCCGTGTTTTTGCTTGCAATAGTTCTAAGCTTTGAAAAGAAATTACATAGTCATTGTTGAACCCAACCTTTCATACTGAAATCATGTTTATAGAGGTCTTCACACTCTCTCTTCTTATTAGTTTATAGATATCGCTAGCCATTATTTCTTCTTAGGGACCTCTTCCTTTAATCTGCCTGATCAAAGAGTGGCATTAGACATTATGGTTAGGAGGATGAATCCTCCACTTATTTATTTATTTTTCTATAACAAAACCCAAGAAATGAACTGAAAAACTGCCAGAACTAATGGGAGTTCAATAGGGTGGCAGGTTATAAAATAAATATATAGATATCTATAGCTTTCTTTCATACAAAGAATCAGTTAGAAACTATGATGGAAAAGCCCCCTCTCACAATAACAAGTAAAGTAATAAAATATCTATGAATAAAGTTACCAAGATATCTGCAAGACCTATATAGAAAAAGTGCTACAGAATTCTATTGAGAGGTGTAAAGGAAGACTTGAAAAATGGAGTGATATACCAAGTTCCTGGATGAGAAAACTTAATGTAATAATGATAAAAAACAGTCTAAATTAATCTGTATACTTAATATGATCCATAAAAATTCCAGTGAGTTATATTGCTGGAACTTGAAAATGGATTCTAGTGTTCTCCAGAAGAATAAATATGTAACAATAGCCTAGCAATTCTGGAGAAGAGTGATAAGGGAGCATTTGCCTTCCCAGGTATTTAAGTGTATTATATAGCTCCAATAATTAAATGGTATAGTAGAGATGTCTAACAGATCAATGGAAAAGATTGGAAAGGCCACAGAAAGATTCAAAATTTTCATTTAAGATAAAGATGCTGTTTCATACAACTGTACAATATGGGCTGGTTATTAAAAAATGGTAGTATGATAATCAGTTACTTTTTTGGGGAAAAAGTTGACACCAGATGTAGAAACTATAAAGCCAAGATTGAGAAGTTTAGTGAAATAATAGCTATTTTTTAATGTACTAAAGACTATATATGAAGGCAAATGACCAAAATATTGTCAGTCAGAGTTAGTATCCTTATTATACATAAAGAGTTCTTAAAATCCACAAAAAGGATAAACAATTTATGAGAAAAACTGGCAAAGGTTAAAGTGTGGACAATTTGAAAAACAAATACAAATAAGTGATCATTAAACATGAAAAAGTAGTCAACTTCACTACCCGACAAAGAAATATAAATTAAACACAGGCATACTGGTTTTAATAATCCATCACATTGTCAAAGATCAAAGAGAATGATAACTAGTGGTGGTTTGTGTGAGGAATTAAATTGCTATTAATTTTGGGGGGAAGAAATTTGGCAGGAGGAGAAAAATGTCTTAAAAAATTCTTTTTGTTTCAGGACTTCTGCTTCTAGAGTAACAAATTAAAAATAACTTTTACAGCATCATTGCTAAAAATTACAAATAAGTAAATAAAATGGAAGCAATTTAAATGTTAAGAAGGGGAATTGGCTCAATAAATAACACATTTTCATATAGAGAAATATGCAGTAATTAAAACTTCTGATGTTGATGCACATTTATAATATATAGAGATGTTTATTTTGTTTGTTAATTGTAAAAGCAAGTTACAAAACAACATGTGTATCATGATTACTTTGGCATGCATATACATATTTATAATGATAACACACATATAATTTGCACAGGAAAAAAATCTACAGGACATCAAAATCCTAAACAGGTTGTGGTTGATTTGAATTCTTTTTTTTTAACTTGTTTTTATTTCTAGTTTCTCTCTGTGTTTCTAATTACTTGTATAATAAGAAGGATTTAAAAAGAGCAAGGACTTTTCGAGTCAGTGAACCTGTGCTCCCAATCTCAGCCTTGTTACCTCCTAGCTGCAGATCCTTGGCATGTGGCTTAATCTCTCTATGCCTCAGTTCCCATCTGTCTAGTGCAGTGGTTCTCAACCTTCCTAGTGCCGTGGCCCTTTAAAACAGTTCCTCATGTTGTGGTGACCCCCAATTTCATTGTTACAAATTGAACATAATTAAAGCATAGTGATTAATCACAAAAACAATAATTATATATGTGTTTTCCGATGGTCTTAGGTGACCCCCCCAAAGGGTCGCGACCCACAGGTTGAGAACCGCTGGTCTAGTGAGACAGGAAGATCTTCCTCAGTTATAATGAAGAGTGTGTCACAGTTAATAAACAGTCGTTTTATAGCTATAGATAAATATGTAAAGCAAGTTTTGTATGTGGGCAGATTATTTTTTTTTAAAAATATTTTATTGATTTTTACAGAGAGGAACGGAGAGGGATAGAGAATCAGAAACACCGATGAGAGAGAAACATCGATCATCTGCCTCCTGCACAACCCCCACCGGGGATGTGCCCGCAACCAAGGTATATGCTCTTGACCGGAATCGAACCCGGGACCCTTCAGTCCGCAGGCCGACGCTCTATCCACTGAGCAAAACTGGTCAGGGCGTGGGCAGATTATTTTAAAATATGTTTTTATTGCTTTCTAGAGTGAGAGGAAGGGAGAGGGAGAGAGAGATAGAAACATGGATGAGAGAGAAACATTGACCAGCTGCCTCTTGCACACAACCTGGGCATGTGCCCCGACTGGGAATCGAACCTCTTGGTTCATGGATTGATGCTCAACCACTGAACTACATCGGCCGGCTGGGCAGATTTCTTTTTAGGTTGATTCCATATTTATCATTATTTTTCTCCCTGGTGATTTAGAGGTGGAGGCTTCAAAGAAACTAGCAGAACTTGATAAGAAAGCAATGGACGAGCTTCTGAGAGAAAGGGACATGTTAAATAAGGTGAGCTGTTGCGGTAACACTGGTAAATAAATGCCTTTCTTTAGCTATAATATCTGCCTATAACAGGAAACTCAGAGGCAAACAGAAGTAGATTAGAATAAATAATAGTGCTCAATTTTCCTCTAAGCAGCTATCTGCAGTCCAGCGTTTACTGGCTGTGAATTGAAACTGCATTATCACCTGTGAGCACAAAGGAATTTTGGAGCATTATCATGTAAACTAGCAGGGGATTTCAGAGTGTTTTGTGGATTCTGTTTTTATTGGCGGTGTGTTATTTGGCATCCCAGACTGCCCAAGTCACTCAAAATATCTGAGTTTAATATCTACGATCTGTGTCTTTTGCTAATCTAGAAAGCAGAGCTGACTGCTAATAAAATTTTAACTTGGGTGATTTTAAGGGATGGTGATATAAAAAGTCTCTAACTTTGCCTCCATCTTTTCAGGATTGTTGTAGGTTTGGGGTTTTGGGTTTTCCGCCCTCCTTTCTCCTAGTCTTTGAGCTCAATATGGTCCAAAACTAAGATGGGGGTTGGGGGAGTTTGAGGCCTGGAGATCCTTCATTCCAGGTGAGACCCCGCACCCCTACCCTTCTCCTCCTCTTGCCCCTTCCCAAGGATTCCTCCCATTGACAGTCACTCTTAGGACATTAACTACTTTCAAGGTTATAAGATAAGCTTTCCTGCTCAAGGATTTCCTTCGGGGAGGAAAAGTGATTGGCCAGGTGCAGAGTGGGGAGGCTGCTTCCTAACAACAGCCCGATGGCTTTTGGCCAAGACAACTTCATCTCATCAAAGTAGACACAGCCTGTGTTTGTTCATTCTGACTTGTCATGACTTCCTTTAGTTTCCCAGGATTGAACAAGTGTTAATAAAATAGATTACCCTTTGGCTTAAAGTAGACTACTTAGGGAATCTCAGGAAGTAATAGATTAGATATTATTACATGCATAGCACTCCTTAGGAAAATCATTGAATCTTTTTTTTTGTGTGCGCATAATCCTGGAAACTGTTCCTTTATTCTGTAAATTTGTACATGCAAACAATATTATTTGATTTAGATTTTTAAATGTACTTTTAACACATGTAATATTTAGTCCATTTATATTTTATATACAGTGATGTTCTCTAGAGCAGTGGTTCTCAACCTTCCTAATGCCGCGACCCTTTAATACAGTTCCTCATGTTGTGGTGACCCCCAATTTCATGGTTACAAATTGAACATAATGAAAGCATAGTGATTAATCACAAAAACAATATGTAATTATATATGTGTTTTCCGATGGTCTTAGGCGACCCCTGTGAAAGGGTCGTTCGACCCCCAAAGGGGTTGCGACCCACAGGTTGAGAACTGCTGCTCTAGAGCTCTTAATGAGCTCTAGAGAATATGATTGTCTTCACTCATCTCTAAAACAATGCTGCTAACCCCAGATTTCCAAACACTTTGAGTAATAGGGATGCTCTGTTGTCCTTATTTTTAGAATATGCTCAAGGCAATCCACGCGACCCAGAAACAGGTAGACCTGGTGAAGCTCCATGAACAAGCCAAGAGGAACTTGGAGGAGGAAATCCAGAACTACAAAGATGAGGCTCAGAAGCAGAGAAAGATCATCTTTCAACTGGAAAAGGACAGAGATCGGTACATCAATGAAGCCAGTGACCTCACCCAAAAGGTAAGCCGTTCCTTGATGGTGTGGGTGGAGGGAACGCTGCACATTCTTTCTGATCGTCACAGTTCTTTCTTTTTTAATTTTTTTATTTTTCTGAATTGTATTTATTTTTGCTAAATCCTCACCCAAAGATATTTTTTCCTATTGATTTTTAGAGACAGTGGAAGGGAGGGAGGGAGAGAGGGAGAAAGAGAAAGAGAGAAACATCAATGTGAGAGAGACACATCAATTGGTTGCCTCCTGCACGTGCTTGGCCCTGGCACGTTCCCTTGACGAGGAATTGAACCCGTGACGCTTCAGTGTGTGGGCTAACGCTCTAACCATTGAGAAACACCGGCCAGGGCTCTCATGGTCACCTTTCTGATCGGCACGCTGTTGTAAAGGCGATTTACTCAGATTTCAGCTTGTGGTTTACATGAAGATTGAAGAGGAATGGTGTTGACTGTATTAAAGCTGTCCCAGAGCTGATCCTGGGCCAGTGACATGGGCAAGCCTTATGTTTGGTGCTCTCGCTTTCCCCATCTGGGCCCCTGTCCTAATTTCCGGGTTCTCCATCTTCCCTGGTGCCCTACTGAGAAAAGCATTTTTCTAAGTAAATGACCTCAGATTAAGAGGCGAGTAAATACTGGCATCAGCTAAGTGTGTCACACATTCAAAGAGCATCTTTATCTTAATACTATTGCAAACCTAAAACGTCACCAGTGATGGAATCCTCCCATTGTGTAGCTGAGTTTCAGTTTCTACTTCTCCTAAACTGCTTATGAAGGAGAAGGCTCAGGCGGTATCCTTGGGCATGACTTCAGGGATTGAATGTTACTTTTAACCAGCCATCCCAGCACATTGCCTGCATTAAGCAAGAGTGGTTAAACAAGTATTGTTTTGGTGCATTCACAGATGGCAATGAGCAGTGGTTTCAGGATGGGGGGCGGGGGATGTTGGGGAATGAAAAAAAGTTTTAGCTGTGAGGCTGAGAAGAGAGTTCTGGAGAAAAGACTGATTTAATGAGATTGTCCGTCTAGCAAAGTACTGTCTGCTATGCTATTGCATAGCCCTCTCTTCCATCTCAATGAAATCTGCAGTAAATTCTACAGTGTTTACTGATGCTTTTGCATGTTTAAATTTTGCTTTTTTTTTTTTTGAGTAGAACCTCCAAAATGACAAGGAGGACAGCCAACTTTTGAGTCATAAACATAAAGAAATTGGGAAACAAGCTTTATAACTTCTTCCCATTTAGGCCAAATAAATGCTGAGCAGATATTTGCAGAATATAAGTTTAGAGAAGCACAAATGCATATGATCCGTCCAGCCTCCTACCCCTGATTGGGAGCCTTTGGCATTCAGCACATTTCTTTGCTGACTTAATCATCTTAGAAGCTCCCTGGATTGATTTACTGACTCTGAGAGGACTAGCTGTCAGTTCAGGCATTCATATTCTCTGGCTTGGGCTGGCGCATTGGCCTTGGTATCAGTCAGCGTTAGCTGAATGGGTTACAGCAACAAAGGTTTATTTTTGCTCACATTAGTGGCCTCTGAGGGTCAGCTGCAGCCTTGCTTCTTGTCCTCCTCACTCCAGGATGGCTCTGTTGGGATGTGCTGGCCTCTTCCGAGGGAAAAGAGTGTAACAGTGGATACTTCAGGGTGCTCTCAGAGCTTCTGCTGCCAAAGGAAGGGCACAGGCCTGTCCACCCATATTCCATTGGCCAGAGCAAAGCACATGGCGAAGCCTGATCCTACTTCCTGGGCAGGAATATGATCCCCCTAAAGGAGGGACCTATATGGCGAGACACTGAATGTATCTGAACCTATAATCCGTTGCAGCTTCTTACGTCTCCTTCCTGGTAATCAGTCTCTCTCCATTCCTGGCTGCCATCACACTATCAGAGTTAACTGTTAAAAATTCCATTGTAGTCTTATATAATTATTCCTGGCCAACCTTGGTTACCTCTGAGCCACCTTGGGCAGTGCTTCCTAACATTTTTTTTGCATCACAACACTCATAGAAAACAATGCCTATGGCATGTGGAAATAAGGAGGATGAGACAGGGCTGGAGGGGATTCACCCAAGGATGATAGCTGCCCAGGTCCCGGTGGGTAGAGTGAATCCGTATTTTTGTATATACCTGTCACCCATGCAAGACAGCAACTGGTATGCTCTGACTTAAAAGACAGAGCCCAAGCTCTTTGTTCTCCCTAGAAAGTTCTTCTTCCCCTTCTCTGCATGAAAAACTCCTATTCATCCTTCTATACCCAGGTCAAATGTTCATCTCTGGGGTCAAGCCTGCTCTGACTGCCTAGGCAGAGCTAGTCATTTCCTACTTGGTGGATTTGTTTATATCTCTGGGATGGCAGTTATCTTCCTCTAGTATAGTTATTTCCTTGCATATTTGTTTTTCCTACTTTACAGTGAGCTCTTGGGAGCAAGGATTTTTATCTCATTCACTGTTTCATTCCAGCATGCTGGTAAATAGTAGGCACCAAAAAAGTGTTTGTTAAACAAATGGATAGATGATGTGTGATAAAAATAATGCTGCCACTGATTTTCATATAGGATTATATATTTTTCTGTTTTCTTGCAAAGGAGAGATACTAGTGCCAAGTTTTGCTGGTAACTTTATCAAGTTTTCTGATGTTTAACTGCACAAGATTATACAGTGTCTCACCTAAATAATTTAAACACAAATCCTTAAAATATATTATCAATTATAATGTTTCTATCTGTTACATAATCTCTGATAGCATATATCAGTTGCTATAGCAACTTGTGTCCTCTCTGGGCTTCTTATCAAGGACATATATGTCTTTTTTGCCCTTCCTCATATTTTTGTCTCTCTTTTCTCCCCCCACTCCTCACACACACACACCTACTCCTCATTTCCTTATTTGAACAAACAGAAAGTTGCCTTTCGCGCATTCTATTTATAGGGAGTTGAGGGATAATGTCAGGTGCTGGGGGTGATGTCATGAAGCTGATATTTTCATCTACTTCTAGAATATACATTGTCCAAGTTTATTCTTTTGATCCAGCAGTTTCTTTAAAAACTGAGTCTGTGGAACCATAAGAAATGCAAAGATTTCTATAAAAGAATATTCTTCAAAATAAATTGTGCTTTGTGCTTTTGATACAGTATTATGTACCATTAAAACCATGTACATTTAATGTTAGAAAATCATTAAAAAAATGGGAAACAATGTTTACAATATGAATCTGATAAAAACACAATGCAAAATTGTGCAAATGGGGCAAAAGTAGGTTTACAATGGTTTGTATGGAAAATAAAAACTTTTAACAGCATCAAACACTAAGGCTGACATAGAGCCTGATGCTGAAGTAGAAGAAAGGAGAATGGATGAGAGTTTTAAAGCCAACAGAGGTGAACTGAGAAAATCTATCTGGACCTCAACTCACAGTTCCTTGAATTTGCTTCATAAAAGAGACAACCCGAGAACAGCTAGAAAGATGCTTCAGAAATTTCTTACCATCTCTTCCCCTACTCAGTGTCTATACTGACCAGTTCATTCCACCTTCCTGCTAGTCAAGTGCTTGTGCCCAGCCAGTTGGACAGTTATGGCCAATCCAAAGAATGGGGAAGGCAGGGTGGAGCTGGTGGTTGCCCAGTGCATTCTGGGGATGGCGGCTTAGGGATGTGGCAGGGCAGAGAGGATCACCCTTGAAAGTGGGACATACTGGGAGTTAAAATTGTCCATAGACCACATCAGCTCAGAGTGATAAAAAATAGGCATTTGGGCCTTGGGCTCTTACAATATCCTAAATGAAAGAATACCTAAGATTGGGAAGTGGACAGAGCTCTGCACATCACTGTATTCCCACCTGTAGTTTTGAAAAGTGGATTCTAGCACCATCCTGTGATTCTAAGAGTTGAACCCACCTTAATAGAGTTGCTTCTAGGGTGTAATAAATCCAACCTTGTCCAAAGATGAATAAGGAAAAAGGCAGCTTAATGGGGTCTATGGAAAAAATATGCCTTCGAACTAGAGAAAGAATGGCCTCTGGAAGCCCCAGGGTAAAAGCCAGGCTCCGAAGATTCCTTTATGGGAAGATATTTAGGTTGAACCTCTAATGTAGCTGTTTTTGTAAGTGAAAAACAGTGGATGCTCAGAGATTTCTTAAGGTTCAACCTAATAGAAGAAAATTAGTGTCAGGTTTCTTCTAAGGTAAAGAATAGTGTTTGTTTAGCAAAATACCTTGATCCTTGCATTGTTTTAGGTGAGGACCTAATGAACTAGAGTGAAACAAAGAAAAGTAACAGAATTTGGAGAAGGGAGGTGGGTGGTGGTGAGCAGGAAATGTAGAGGAGATTTGAAAAGATGAGACCTCACCAACATCCAGGAAGTAGGTTGGGCTCTTTTGGAAGAGACTCCTTCCTGGAGGGGGTGGGGGTAGGGAGAGGGAGTGAATATTTGCAGAACCAGGAAGTAAGCTACTGCAGTGCTTCAGCACTTTTTATCCTCCTGCTTTTTCCTCTGCTGCACTCTTAGATTTTACCATTCAGATAAATTGAGAGGCGCCAGGTATGGCATTGTAGGCTGTGGTCCACCATATGTACTCTTTTTCTCAACTGTTACCAATTCTAGGTAAAACTGCTTCTAGTTAATTATTAAATCTGAGAAGAATTTTGCACATCATGCATTTGGCTTACATTCGGGCCCCTCCCTTTTCATTCTCAACGTTCTGGCCGTTGCCTCCCAGGCATTTTTCATGCCCCAAAGCAGTCTTTTACAGCGAATCCCTCCTTCCTAACAACTGTCTTAGCTCGCTGCTTGTTTGCGTAGAAGAGTGTCAGGCAAAGCTCTTCTAGACACAGGTTCCAAGAAATGAATAATAATGTGCTCTCAAGGGCTTAGAAGTAAGCGAGGAAAGCAAAAGATCAAAGAAATATTGTTCCCTGAATAGGTACTTCATGACAAAAAGAAGCTCCTGTTTCTTTGATATTTATTCAAAGTTTAGACAAGAGCACCTTTAATAGGCTAGAACCCTGGAGAGG